AAGATGTTCGAATAGAGTGCAACTATCAGAAATATGAAAGCGAAGACATCCCATGTTGCTATTTGTTTTATGTGATAAAGTGGGAGCATGTTATGGAAATTTCCTCGTCACTCATAATGAAGTGATGAACAAAAATTGTCCGAATGAACATTGGATATGCATTTATGTCATAAAGTTGTAGAAATGAGGTTGTACAAACCACGAGATACGAAAGTTTAAGTTGTATTGCCAACAAAGAGTGTTTGTATGCATCAAAGAGCACATATGGGTATAATATTATTCATAAATTTTTCTTATTGAAATAAATTAATGTTCAAAAGGCTTACACCTCGCATAACCCGACTAAAACGCCTCGCATCAACGCCTCGCCTTTCAACATATTGCTAAAATCAACAAATCTGTAGCAATCGCACATTTCCGCAAAATAATAATAATAATCAGAATCAAATAAACAAACACTACCTGCTTTTTGTAAATATTGAAGTAGATGTTGAATAGGTACCAGAGGCCAAACAACACCCCGAGCTCAAGCTTTTTAAACATGTTGCTAGCTTGAAATTAGAAGTCCATGGCCTGAGCTTGAAATTAGAAGAAGATGAAGAGAGAGACCAGGATCAGCGAGGTAGAGAAGCAGAGAGGTACCATTCGTAAGAGGCGTGATATTGTTAGGCTTCGAAGAGGCTGATGCACGTACATGATCGAATCTAGGATTCAAAGTTGTGCTCGATTATCTCTGAGGCTTCGGAAGCGAAGAGCTAAAAGACAAAACGAAACAGGGAGATCGAGATAAACAAAAGAAGTTTTCATTTCATTTAAACATAAGCCCTTACATTTCCTTTTTCTTTCTTTAAATTAGTGATCCTTCTTTACAATGGGAGCCAGCTAGCTACAATAGCCAGAAATTGCCCTAACCTAAGCCTTAAGCGGCTATTACAATAGGACAATAGGAGCTAGCTAGCTACAACAGCCAGAAATTACCCTAACCTAAGCTAGCTACAACAGCCAGAAACTGCCATAACCTAAGCCTTAAGCGGTTCCTACAATCTACTTTTATTTTTATTTTTGTCTTCTCTTCTCCTTCATCCTCCTCTTACTCTTTGTAATCAACCGGATTCAGAGCAACCATATTCAGTTTCATTTTCTTGACTTCGTCCTTGATATGGATCAATTGCAGAGCCTCTTTGATATCCTTGTCTTTTCTGTCAAATGAAGCCGTGCAACTCACAGAACCTTTGTCCCATTTTGCTTTCTTGGCAAGTTGGAGGAGAGTGTGGAGGTCCTCTTGAGATTTGATGAAAAATTTGTGGTGTGAGAGAGCAGCGTTCATGGCTTCGTTTACGTGTTCCTCAGCAACCAACAAATTGTTTGTTGCCTCTCTGAAATTTGAGAGAGCAACTTGAGAAAAAATTTGCATTTTCTTTGTGAAAGGGGAAGCTAGAGCTTGGTTTGGAGGGAGAGTTTGAAGTGTGCTATGTTCCACTCACACTCTATCCTTAAATAGAGCAGAAAATTATTGGTAGTTCAACGATCAAGAGAGACAGAGGTTGAAGCTGTGTTGAGTCAGTGGTAGGTTTTGTAAACTACTTGGCTTTGATGTTAAATTATAACATCAGGAGGTCCGTTTTAAAAAACTGGACCGGATTGAGCAATGTTTAAATAAGTGGACCTATTTGAATTGATGGGTTTTTATTTGTCCCAAATTGTCAAGGCCTCTTTTCTTTAAAGTCATAAAAAAGAAATATTAAAAGAAGGACCCGAAGCAGAGGCGCCCACCTAGCGCCTAGGAACCGTCTGGGCCAATTTTTCGAACACCAAATGCTAAACAACTTCCAACGGAGTGGGTAACAGACGACACCTCTGCAATATCATATAAGAAACCTGCATGGTTCACCAATAGCCAATAATTTTCATGAGTATGATGGTGAAAGTAAGAGGAAGCATCATATGACTAGGAAAATCAAACATTGATCCAAGGAAAGTTTCATATTCAGTTTAAACTTTTCATTTTTTGCATTTTTTTAATTAAATTTAGTACATCAACAATAAACTGAATGCATCTTTAAAAAACTTCATGAGAAGCCCAAGAAAATTGAAAATGTTATTAACGTGTAAGCATCAAACCAACAAAACAAAATAATGAATATTAAGTAAGGTTGTTCGTCCGAGAGTAAATTAATATTGGGTGCACATGAAAGCTACCCTCTTACAATTCTCATTTCGAGAAAACCTGTGCACATAGAGAAACAGAGACAGTAGGATGGAAGTAGAAATGAGACATTGTGATCTCTCTCGCCTTTCCCTATCAGAGATCTCAAAACCAAAAACAAAAACATCTATATATATTTACTTTTCTTCTTTTTCCTGGGCAAGGCAAGAGCACGCGACTATGACCTCCTTATTATGTCACAATGACCAGAAATCAAATACATATACATATGTGTGTGTATATATTTTCTCTTGTTGTTTAATGCGAGGATGGACGAGTCAAGTTAAGATTCCAAAGATTCCCGTAAAAGAAGATGCGGCGGAAGAGGTGATGGGATTTAAATCTCTCTCTCTTTCTCACATTCTCTAACCAAAAACATTAAGGCTTATGCATATAATATATTTACTTTTCTTCTTCTTCTTCTCGGGCAAGAGCAATCGACCGTTACCTCTTTGCAGTCAATTATTTGAGACCAACAAATAAAAACTATAGGTTCAACGAGTCAACTTGTATAACTTTCTTCTTTTTATATGTTTTTTTTTTATCAAGTTGGGTCGACCACCTCCATTATATTTCCACACGATACGTCGTTTGCTTCGTTCTAATGAAACTCACACGATATGTCATGCGTCTCCCAAAAAGAGTGGAAGTAGTCCCCGTAGCTCTTATACCTCGCTTGGGCCCATGTCTCTTACACATGCATTGGGCTTCATAAATCCACAACTCTCTCTAAAAGGGGTTTTTTTATCGATTACGGTTCAAAATATATGGGGATTTTGGGATTTTGGCAGAGGAAAATGGTGCAACTCTTAACAACCATGTTTGAAAACTTTAACCTTTGTTTAGCCTTTGTTGTTCTTTTAGTAGACCAATTTTATTAGTTTACAAGACATAAAATGAACCTTGAAATGTAATGGAACTAAGCTTAGCTCCATTTGGTTTGCCATGCATTTAAAAAATTTGAATGAAGACAAAAATCTGAAAGGAAGGAGCCTAAGGGAGGATAAGGTAAGGAAGGCATCATGAAGTTTCCGTTTTATTGACCTGCCGACTATGTAATTAAAGCCTATTGGTTGTTGTCCTTTGTGCACAATCACCAAAACATGTGATGTTATATTATCATCATCATCATAGTTGTCACTTGCTCTGTTTCTCTCACCCTCATTTCTGCAACTGCAACTAAGGTACGTACTACTCTTGGATCAATCAATCTCATCAAACATGATAAAAATATTTAACATGATTGATTTCCGTTAAACAAAAACATGATGATATTTGATCATGATACCCAAATTGTGACTAGCTCATATATTAATTAGTATGTCAAATTAATTTACGATTTCTTGAAGTTCGGAAGGAAGAATGAGGTTGATCTGTCAGTTACTAATTGAAAGTGACTTTGATTCTTGAGATTCAACTATGTAATAGTAAAGATATATACCAATGGTAGCACCGAAAGAATAAACACTTGCCTATGCAAAATTAATTCTTTGATATTGGTTTGGTTAGTATGACAAGCTACATGAGACTTTTAATAAATGAAAATTGCATTAATTTTGCGTTATGTTTTCATATAATGGTAATACTAATAGTAATACGATGGTAAGGTCAAGGACTTTTTTAATTATAGAGATGAAACATGTAGAGGTGAAGAGAAAGGAAATTCACAAGTAGATATGAGACTAGTCAAGTTGGCTAGAGAGGATGTGCTTCCCACTGTGCACTCAAGTTCGAATCCCCCCTCCTTATAGTTTAGATTAAATTAAAATAGATATAGCTTGTATTAAAAAAAAAAAAAGGAAATTCACAAAACTAAAAACCTACTTAAAATTGCTTTACATTTGTTTGTTTGTTTTGGTTTTACAAAATTACACATTGTATGTAGGCTTTAACGTATACCATTTGCTAAAGGGTAATTCTATATGAACCCCATTATTTGCTCTTTACACCCCTTAATTTTATACACCCCACTAAATTTTAAAAAAATTTCGAATTACTCACTATATCCCCCTTTTTTTTTCTTCCTAAAATGCCCTCATGAACCCCATTCCCTAACTCTCTTTGTAAACCCCATCCCATATCAGACCACCCCCATCGAAAATTCCCTTTCTCTTCAGATACACCCCATCTAATATCAAACCCCACCCCATCCCCTATCAAGCCCCACCCCATCGAAACTTCCTTCTTCTTGCAGACACACCCCATCGAAAATTCCCTTCTCTTTGAAACAGACTCATCGCACCCAATCTCTGCAAACCACCGAACTCCATCGCATCTCTACAAACCACCACTCCATCGCATCTCTGCAAACCACTCTGTCAAGTTTCCACAAATCCTTCGAAGATTCAAGGTATGATTTCAATTTTGATTTCTATATTTACGTTTCTAAGTGTTGCTGAAGCCTATGTTTGATTTTGATTTCACAAAGTCTGATTTTCAACTCTGGTTGTATGGTTCATTCGAACCTGGCTTTACGAAATGGGATTTTAGTTTCGGTGGATTACCACCGAATTGGTTACATTGTTTCAGAGGTAGTCCACCGAATTTGAACCACTAAAATTAATCTTACTTTCGGTGGGTTGCCACCGAACTCGTTACCTTTTTTCGGTGGTAGTCCACCGAATTTATTTCTATTTTTCAGGTGATACCCACCGAATGTAATTCAATTTTTCAGTAGTACTCCACCTAATATGTTTTCTTTTTTCAGTGATAGTCCACTGAATTTGTTTCCGTTTTTCAGTGATCATATACTGAATCCGTTACTGAGTGTGTACTTAATACTGTTTTTTTAGATATGAAGAGGACTCGCAGAGTGACTACTGAGGCTTCATCATCTCGACCTGATAGACAGCGTCCTACAACCTCAACGAGGAGACAGAGAGCGGCTCCCCAAGATCACTTTGAGGATACTACAGAGGTTGAAGATGTAGCTGCTACTCATGATAGTAATGTTGAGGTACATGTTGAGCCTACTGAGCCATCTCGAGTAGGTCCCATTGATCCATGTTTACTTACGAGTTTTAAAACCCACGTAGCAGCTACAATTTGGAATAACCAAGTAAGTCGTTTTACTGTGACAATAGAACGTAGAATATAAGTCTGGTTCATGGTAATTAACCTTTTTTTTTTTTTTTTTTTTTTGTATTTAACTAGGAACATGAGCTCCTTAGGTGCATGTCGAAGACATCTACCCTTCTTGAGTGGAATTGGTGGGGTAATCCAAATAATGGTATATTCAAAGGGTACATTCAGAGGTCTGGATTAGAGCAACTTATTAGGTGTTCTTATCGGAATGCAGATAAGATTGTGGTATCTACATTCGTTGAGAGGTGGCATCCCAAAACGAACACCTTTCACATGCCTTTTGGTGAGATGACCATCACATTGGATGATGTGTCATCTATTTTAGGCATTCCTGTGTCTGGTGCAGTGGTTGCTCCGCTTGAAGATGATAATGACACAAATTTCGAGTTGCTAGTTAATTACTTAGGAGTGACTGATGAAGAAGCTACTGAACAATTGCACCAATACAGTGATGAGTATGTGAGTTTGCATGTCAAAGTATTCCAATCCTCATTAAATTGCTTCCATTGTTTGAGGGTCCCAAATAACTTCTTCCAGTTTGCCAACACTCCTTTGTTAATATGTCATCTACATAATAAATGTCGTGCTTTCGAAAATATAGATGTAATAGAATTCATGAGTGCTAACTCTTGATCGGTGACAATAACACCAGGAAGACAATTATCATCCAACAAACTCCTCAATGCAGTCAAAGCCCATGTGTAATTGTCTTCCTTCTCGGCATTCATATAAACATACGCAACAAAGAATGTCATATTAGTATATGTCACCCCCACAATTTGCAATAGTGGGAAACGATACCTATTAGTCTTATAGGTGCAATCTATGATAAGTACATGTGGAAATGCACGCAAAATCTCAATATTAATGGGGTGTGTCCAAAATAAGTTAGTTACAATATCACCAGATGTCCTATGCCACTGAATATAATTGTGTTCGGATAACTTAGTAAGCAATTGTTGCATTTGGGTTCTCCCAGCAAATTCTTTGATTCTATTTTGGATCCTAGCATTGTATATTGTCTTCATAGTTGAAATATTTATTGCATCTCTATCCTTCAGGGTGACTAAAATATCTCTAGGTTTCACCAAACTCTTAGACATGTCCATCAACAAGGCATTCTCCTCTTGAGAAAGTCGCCCCACAAATGAATGACCTTGAAGATACTCTGAAATAGGATGGTTGTGTACTCCACAAACCACTTCCAACTTCCAATCATCCCCATCACCAATATTGACACCTTTTAACAAGAATGGGCATCCACATTTCATGGTACCAGTGTCCCAAACACATTTTTTCATATCACTATTTGCATCCGACCTTATATCAGTTGTCTCACTAGACTTGCAAGACTTATAGTTACCGCTCCTCTAACAAGCAAGTATTACTCGAGGTCTTCTCTTGCCCTCACCTCCATAATCAGACCTTTTAATTACAATGACAATATTATTCATTTTTCCTTGTGCACGAGCCCATCTAAATAATGCATCTCTACCATTGAATATCTGCACATAAAACTCATGTTATTTAAAGAGAAAATTTGAAACATTAATGCGACATTAATAATACTAAAAATGATTTCAAACAAAAAAAAAACTCAAAATAATTACCGAATAAGTTGTGAATTGATCACTATAATCCATTACACATTATGTTCCCACATTGTTGCCTTCAGTAGGGGTGTCACCTTGTTTTTGTTCCTTCAATGGGAGTAAGATCAAAATAGCTTGCATTAAATTTGTGGTCGACAATAAGTTACTAAATTTCGGTTTGTTGCCACTGAAACGTAGGTAAAATTTCGATAATAAACTACTGAACAACGTTCCATATTACAGTGGATCTCCACCGAATATTAAGTTGATGATCGGTCAAACACGACCGAATTATGTGCAAATTTTCGGTGGCATCCCACCGAATTTACCTATCGAGTTCGATACTGATGTGCTGAACACAACCAGCCCTAAATCCTAAACTTGCAAAACGCCAAAAAATAAACTCATACCTCATTCGAAGCCTCTCTAACTTCAATCTCACCCTTCATGAATAAATACAATATATTTTTTCACCAATATAAACGTATAAATCTCGTTAGAGTTGTAGGAACACGATGGTTTGAGAAAAAAGTCAAACTAGGGTTGCATGAACATATGTGGGGTGTAGTGAGTAATTTAATTTTTAATTTTTAATTTTTTTGTCCTTAACTGTAATTATGTACAAGGGTAAAATAGGTTATTCATGTTTAAAATTATTATGCGGTGTAAAGAGCAAAAAATGGGATGCTAATAGAATAAGCAAATGGGGCCGGTAAAGGGAATTGAATGTTAGCATAGCCCATTTTCATATCGTGGGCTGACCTGAACAAGTGAAAAAGGAAAGACTAGTAATAAAGTTGGCTTCTTTTGAGTTCCTAATACCAACTCACCCTAAAAAATGATTTTGATTATCGAGTCTAGTAGTTATTCATTTTTCTTTAGGCTTATTATTTGATATACCCCTGAAAGTGTATTTAAGCCTCACTTTGCCCCCTAAAACTCATTTTGTTTCACTTTATCACATTTTTCACATATAGTTGTCTCACTTTACCTCATTTTTCACAAAATATTAATTAAAAATTAAAAATTCAATTTAAAAATTTTAGATGATATTAAATATTTGAAACATAAATATATTAAAAATATTTTGAAACTTAAAATCCATTAAAAAAATTGTAAAGAAATTTAATTTTTTACAAAAAAGAAGATTAAAACAAAAATTGCATCCATACCCGTGCCGCTCCCCTCCCCATTTACCCCCGTCCACTCCTCTCTCTCTCTATGAGAGTTACCAGCAACCCAAACATCAGCCCACCCTCCCCGACCCACTCTCTGCCCCTCTCTCTCTCCCTCCTCTCCCTCTCTCTGCTATCTCTTCCCTTTGCAAATGGGGCCTTTTTTTTTTTCTCTCCCCAACTACCCGAACCTCCCCCACCTCCGAGCAACCCGTGACCAGAGCTGGTTATGAGTTTTATAGGCCCTGGGCGAAAATTTAAGTTGTGCCCCTATATAGACACACTAATTACTAAAACTGCAAAACTTTTTTTTTATTTTTTATCAACTAATAATCTCATTTTTTTATTTTTTATTTTTTTGTCATTAATAATCTCATTTGTTAACTTCAACCAAATTTTGAAGCATATGTTATTTTTTATAAAGAATATATTTATCCAAAATCCTCTGAGAGCTTGAGCTATATTTTATTTATTTTGTTCTTTTTAGAGAGTTGTTCCTTAGGAAATTATTTAATTTTTACACTAAATTGAAGCAATAAAAATATGAACAATCAACACAGCCAGAAGCAATATCAATAAAGCAACCAAAAATCTCAACAAATAACACTCAAACATGAAAGATTGAACTTTAATAATTAACTACTAAACAAAGAACAATAAACCTGGATTTTGAAACAATTTTCTTTATTTGAAACTTTCAACACCCTGCACATAAAATAACAATAAAAATATTGAATCAAAAGATCAAATATTCATGTGCATAATCACAACTAAGAAGAATTTACCAATTCAATCAAGTAAAATTATGTAAAATTAATGTAACTAATTATTAATTTACATCAACACAATCAAATAAAAACAATTGATTAGATGATGATTTGGGGCACAAGAAGAGAGAAAATTGGGAGAAGAATAGATGATGATAGATGAAGAAAGAAAAAGAGAGATAATAAGAATGATATATCTTTTCATCTGAAGAAATTATTTCAGAAATATATTCTTTAGTTACCTATTATTTTTATACAGAGAGGTCAAGGGCATGACAGCTGCGACTTATGAGAGTTTGGTATTTGGCTGAGCAATATTTGGATGCAAAGCAAATCTGATCTTGCTTTTGGTGAAAACATTAAAATCAAATTCAAACACAAAAAGAAAAAAAAATAAAAAGGTGTAGGAGTGTTCTTTTTCGAAAATACATATGTCTAAGAGCACTTTCACCCATTTGCCATAGCAAAGGGCAAGGGCAAGGCAAAAGTTGTTACTATTCATGTGAATAGTGGCAGCCCTTGTAAAAGGCTTGTGGTGTTTTCACCCATTGCCATGGCAACCCAAGGGCAATCACTATTCACATGACATATGAGGAAGGGAATTTGTATAGAGTTTTGGTGTGGGAAGTGAAGAATATGACTAAGTATTTATTTATTTATAAATTAATATTTTAAGTATTTTTTTAGATTTTTAAAAAAAAATTTCGTTGCTGACATCAGTAAACCCAGACAATTCTTGCCTTTGGGCCTGCCTAGGCTTATATAGCCCACTGTGCACGCTGGAACCTCTGCCTAGGGCTTGGGCCCCCTCCTACCCGGGCTCAGGCTAACCGATGGAAGTGCTCTAAGGAGAAAATTTTGTGCTCCTTATACAATAGGGCCCTGGGTTGTCGCCTCCCGCGACCTAATGCCCAGCTCCCCCTTGCCGACCCACTCTCTACCCTTCTCCCATTCTCTCTCTCTCTCTCTCTCTCTCTCTCTATTTTTCTCTCTCTCTCTAGAGAGAAAAATAGAGAGAGAGAGAGAGAGGGTCTTCTTCTCTTAATCCACATCATTAGCTAATAGATGTGTCAAATGGGACGGGCCGGCCCAGCACGGCATGAGCCCAGCTCGTTTAAATGAGGCACGGCACGGCACGAGCACGAATATTAATGGGCCGTGCTCGGCATGGCACGAAAACTTAGGCCGGGTCGAGATCAAAAAATAGGTCCAATGGATCAGGCAAGCATGGCCCAAGCCCGGCCCATTTAGCCTTTTTTTTTTCTTCTCAAAAAGTCAAAATGCAATAGTTTGACATCTAATGTCATTGTTTATATGTTTAAAAAAAAAAATCATAAACATATATTTAATGTCTTTAATTTTAGGAAAATTACTTGGGTCCTTAATTAATTAAACATATCAACTACAAATTAATTAAATAACATTGGACTTGATATCTAATCAATACATATGACATATACATTTCTCTTATAATCAAAGTAAGACATTTCTTCACATATAAAATAATAAGTTGTTAAAAGATGAAAAGTTGAAGTGGACTTTGCGGAGTTGGACACTTTTTGCCCTTCGCCTCTTCATATTATTTGGATATTTGATTGATTAATGTTTTCAAATAGTTCATCATTTCTTGCCTCTAATTATATTTTTAATATTTCTAATTTGAATTATCTAGTAGAAAAAAAAAATCAAGTGATAAAAATTAAAATTAAATGGGTTGGTTCTTGGGCCTGAGTATGGCATGAGTACTAGCACTGGCAAGGCACGAGCCCAGCCCGGCCCGTTTCAATGTGGACATGGGCTTTGGGCCGGGGCGAGATCGATGATTTTATTAAATAGGCCGGCACGGCACGGCCCAATAAATTAAATGGGTCGGCTCGCCACGACACGAAAATATTAAAAGCACAAGTTAAAATGAAACGGGCCGGCCCGCCACAGCCCGTTTGACACCTCTACTAGCTAATGTTTTCATATATCTTCAAACTAGAGTTTAAACAAATCAAAACTTATCTTAATGCTTGCCTCCTCGTTTTATATTCGTTTTATATTTGCACAGATTCTTTGTTATTGGAAATAAAGGATTCAAACTTGAAATATATTCAAATGAAATAAAACTTCAAACAAAATGTCAGGGAGATAACGTCTTCTTCTTATTCTTTTCGAAGCTCCCTGATATTTTGGCAATATCCCATGCATTTATCTTATAAATTTCAATTTTTTGGTGTGAATATCGAGAAGATAATTTCCATCATTCACAAGTTGACTTTGGGCAATATATCGCCAATATATCTCGATATTTCTCCATATTGCCAATTTATCGCCACTCATCTCAAGTACTTTTGTAAATTATATCACTGATATAATTTTGTAAATTTATACATATATTATATAAATTCCTCTTATTTATTATTGTCATGTATCTTTACATTTGTTACTCTATACGTGTTATTTTTAACCTACATAATAGTATATAAACCCCTTTTATTACTTGCATATTATTTATTTTTTAAGTTACTGCGTTTGTTAGCTCGCACTATACTCAACTTAAATCACTTAAACCCATCATACAATGTATTTTCTTCAATTTTTGTGTCAAAACCATTTTTGTATTTGTTATCCCACCATTTTCCTCTGCCAAAATCTCAAAATTCCCAGCTATTTTAAACCCAAATCGACAAATAACCCCTTTTAGTTCTCCTCTTTGAGACAACACTCGCCCATTGCCACATCAGCACCATCACGTGTGTGACGCAAGCTCATTTAACGGGTCAATGGGACATCATTGAGTAGAGGGGATAATTTTTAGACAAAATAGGAGGTTAAGTGCGGAAATTTCAATTCAAGGAGGTTAAAGTGAGACTAAGCTCGAGTTCCAGAGGCTAAAACAATAAATAAGCCTTACTAAAAAGACAAATAGAGATTGCAAGGAGAGAGAGTTGTGGATTTATGAAGCCCACCGCGTGTGTAAGAGACATGGGCCCAAGCAAGGTGTAAGAGCTGCGGAGACTACTTCCGCTAATTTTCGAAGACGGACGATATATCGTGTGAGTTGCATTAGAACGAAGCGAACGACATGTCATGTTGAAATATAATGAGGGTGGAGGACCCAACTTGAAGAAAAAAAAAAACAGATATAAAGAAGAAAATTTTCAGCCACCGTCTTTCCTATTTGGGTTTAACGACCTTTTGGACCTTTGGACCTCTGGCATATTAACATAAGCAAATACAAATCTTTGCTGGTTGAAACCCTTTAGGCCCCGTTTGGTTCACGGAATGAATTTGATGGGAAATCATTTCCCATGTCATTTCCCAAGGGATGGGAAATGTTGATTCCTTTCCCATGTTTGTTTTGAGTAGGAATGGAAAACAAATTTTGTTTAGTTTCCCAATTGTACCCCTATTAAAAAAAAAAAAAAGAATCCCAATAATTGTTGGATAAAAATTGTAATTATGACTTGTTAGTAAGGACAAATTAGTCAAAAAAAATTGTATTTAATGCTAGTTTTCCTTTCCCATGGGAAGGGAAAGTGAAACCCAAGGAGGAAGGAAGGATTCACTTTCCCTCCTACTTTCCCATGTGCTAGGAATCGATCGTTTCCCATGCCTGACTTACCAAACATGGGAAATGAATTGATTTCCCATGCCCAAGATTCCTTTCCCATGAACCAAACGCAGCCTTAGCTAAACAAAACCTTGCCAAAAGTCACACTCAGAAACCCCACTCTCTCGTCTCTCCCAATTCCTCCTTCATCTTCCCGCCATTTTTTCCGTCCCAAATACCCACTGCCATTAAGAAACGAAAGCTAGCTGGAGTCTCTCGTGCTGAGAGATCGCCGGGCTCGTAATCGGAGCTCCGGTGGCTTCCGATGGTGATTTCCAGAGACGTCCAAGAGATTGTCTTAAAGCTCTCGTCCGATAAAGCCAGGACTCGAGAAGTATTTATCTCCTACTCTCTCACCGATTTTTCTTTCCCCTCCGTTTGGTCGCCTGGAAAATGCTATACTACGAAAAGAAAAGAAAATTATTAAACTGATAATAAAGGATTTCAGGATTGTGAAGTACTGTATAACTTTAACCCTAATCGCTATAGTAGCGCATTTTGGTAAGTAGATGTTTCTGCTTATGGAATGCGAACTTGGAAATTTATTGGTGACCAAGAGGATCCATGTACGTCTGTTCTGTGTAATTATGATAATGGAGAAGCTTAATGTGTGCTTAATTGTTCTTAAGTTTAACATGGAATCCGAGACCAATCAGGGCAAAATGCTGTCTGAACTTTAGGCTTCAAATGAGAGAATTCTTTCTGAAATTTTGTGTTTAATAATGATTCTGAACTACTGAGTTGTTGGTTCTTTTGCGTTTTTGTTGTTTTCTTTGCTGCCTAACACAGTATTACTTTCATTGACCAAAAAAAAAACACAGTATTGTTTTCTTGTTTCACGGAAATCATTGTGTGATCAAGATGTTGATGTCTACAGGAAGGGATAAAGTTGTTGAATACATGGTTAGAAGGAGAAAGATCGATTGGTTTCTGTAAATATCTTGGAAAGAACACTGCAGAGCTTATACCAGATGAGATTCCTCACTGTATGATGAAGATTTATTCACGAAAAATGCAGTTTCTCTTGTATTTTATAAATAATCATTGAAAAAGTGAACGCAAACTGTTTTTATTGTTATTGCAGCTGAAACCTGGCCTTTTTTCACTAATATGCTCGTTCAGTGCGCTTCGTTGGAGATATCCTCAAGCAAGCGACCAAAGTTGATATTTGCAAAGACTCTACGGGTAGTGGTTCAGCGAGCAGAGGATGATAATTTTTCAGGTATTAAAGGGGTGCCAAGAGATTAAGTTTGAAGTGGTAGAGAGAGTGTGTGATTAAGCATTTTGCATCTAACTATGCATGTTTTCATCATCATTTCAGGCAAGCCATTGCCTTTGTTACCTGTGGTTAAAAATCTTTTTAATCATATATGGGAGGTTGTAAAAAATGTCACAAGCTTTCAATCGGAATATGGGATTGTTCTCCGGCATCTATTGGCTGTCAGAGATTATCGATTTCACATGAGGAAGGACATCTATTGCAGTGAGTCATTCTTTTGACGAAATAACCTTGAGTACATATCTCTTCTTGAATGTTATATAAAACTGTTGTTGCTCAATTTTTTTAATTATCTTATTCTGCATGGATAAGGGCTGGTGAAAAAGTACATGAAGTTGGTAGAGGACAGCTGGGGTGGTAAGAATGATAATCAATATCATCCCAAGGAGGAGGTCTTTCGCTGCATTCTTACACTCCATGCGCTTTTGGAGAATCCGCCTGGAGATTTCCCACATAATCTCAGGGAAGACATTGTTAAGCGTTTTATCAAAATTTTATATTTCATTAGGTAACACTCTCTCTCTCTCTCTCTTGCCCACCCCCGTGTTGATGTGGCCTAAAATGTTCAACATTCGCTTTCTATGTTCATTATGATGGAATACATGCTGTTTTTCGTGTTGTATCTTGCCCAGGGACGAGGGAAAGATTTCGCGAAAACTTATTGAGTGTATCAATACATTTTTGATAAAAGATGGTCCAAATTTGGATTGTGAATCCTTGGAGATCCATAATGCAGTGCAGCAATTTGTGTTCCGGTGTTGGCTGACAACCCATGATCGAGCCCTTAAGGTTTTTAATGCATTTCAAAGAAATTTCGGCAGTTTATTTATATGTATTTGAGTATCCTGAATTGCTAACTGTGTTTGCATTTGTAATTGTATTTTTTTCTTTTGCAGGATGTACTTATTCTTTATGCAAGGTTACAGCTGAATATTACTAGAGGTGCTACTGATGGGAGCATTTTGGTACATCAACTTCTAGACATAATTTACAAGGAGCTAGATCAAAGCTATATATCCAATAATAATGTGCCTAGGTGGGCTTTTCTTTTTCCTCGTTATTATAAACTTTTTTTTTACTTGTCCTCTTATGGCATTCCTGATAGAAGCTTACGTTTGTGGCTTCAATAGATGATCATGTAAAATTTTCTGTATGTGCAGGACTGATGCAACTAAAGATGACAAGTTTGGTACTTTGAGTAGCTCACATTGTGGTCTGGTTGAGCTTGCAGCCACTGTACTTTATCGGGTAACTACTCCACTTTCATCTCATTGTGGAACTTGCCTAATCTCAATATCTTCACTGTGGTTTTGCAATTTTCTTTACAATGATTTGGATTTTTATTTTTGGGTTCCATCCTTCAAAGCTTGTGTCGACATTGCCAAAGTTCTGCTAGTTTTTGTTGGTTTGCTTTAAGGCAATATTCCAATTCTTAATATGTATGAAATTATGAATTCCACACTCCTGTATATGCTGCTTCAGTTTTGGCAAAAGTGGTTTAAGGTGGAGTGAGGTTGGAGTAGGTCTTGAGTGCAAGTTTTCTTTTTCAAACAATTTATTTAAACACTTGGAGAAGCAGAAAATTTGTTGCACTTTTTCTCCTTTGCTTTCTTGAGACTGATGATCCTGGTTTATGGCTGATCTCCTTTTGTGCATCTCATCTTTTTCCTTTTCAATGAAGTTCTTGTTTCCTATAAAAAAAAACATTAAAAAAAAAGGTGATTTCACTCTTCAGGCTTGTACTAACATGACTAAAGCACCATCAACTGAAAAGCGGGTCAAGAGAGAGCATGCTGCTGCCCATTTAAGAGAGGCTCTCATGAAAGGAAAATGGTTATGGTAAGTTTAGGCGGACTGATTATGTTTGTAGTTTAGTTTCTTTGTGTAGTATCTTCTGCACAAGCTCTATCTGTGGATGATACTGCACTTCCTTCAGTATAAAACAATTTTCTATAATCTAATGTGGATGATAAACTATCGCTTGGTACTGATGCTTGTGACGGGCTGGTTTAATGATTTCAGGAATGCTTCATTTTGTTGTCTGACTCGTAAGTACTACACACGCATTAGTAAGGATATTTTCATCTACTGGTTCGAGGGCATATGCACAAGCTTTCAAAGGTACTTCATGCCATGTTATAGTTAGTTATAATTGTCTCATTATCTAGTGTTAATCAAACTAATGTTTATTCTGATCTCTCTCTCTCTCTCTCAACTTCTTTTAATATATATTTACTGAAAACCAAGTTCTTATAATTTTGACATATGAATTTGGAACCTGGAATGCTCCTCTTTAATTGTTGTTTGTTCTAAGTTAGACCCTGTGCCATATTGTTATCCGGTATATATATGTATACTATATATGCACATTATTTAGGGAAAAAAAGACAAACTCCTTGAAATATGTGGCTGTGTTGGATCAAGGTTTGATCCTGTTTGCCTCTAGAATGAAAGTTGCGTATCTATGTGGTGACAATTGCCTTTGTTGCTTGTGTATATATGCAATTCAAATTACACTTTTGGGTTGAGTGTCTATGCACATTTGCGTAGTTAAGTGTTTCTTGACTAGATATCTTCTTAAGTTTGAGTATTCCTGCATGATTGTGTAGGCAATTACTATTGGACAGTTAGTTGACTCAAGTGTAAAATGTTTCACATCTGGCCCATATCTGTGGTATACTTGTTAACACCCTGAATAAAATGGTGAAGCTGCTTGTGTTGTGATCATTATTGTACTGATGGAATTGAAACATATTGCAGAATTTTGAATGATGCAAATATGGTGCATGCTTATGATGATTTGCTCTGGACCCTGAGGTATACTGCTCTTATTTCCCATAAGACATCTACTATTCAGTTGAATTTTGTTAAGTGTGTAGCCAGTGTGTGTATCAGTTTGATAAAAGTGTGACACCTGTGGTCCATTTCAATATGACTGTGCCATATATGGTGCTAATCTAAGTTTAATATTGTTAAGTCTGCACAGACATCCACTGGCAAATAAGATATGGATGACACCTTTACGTTCTTCTCTCTACTTCTTTATCCCCTGCTTCAGTTGCACTCATATTTATATACTTACTTGCATGTGAAGGAGCTTGCAGGAACTCTCTTCTGTGTTGCTTCTAGATCTGAAGCTGACGAAGCCATCAAGCTCCTCGTGCTTGAATGAGGTGCTTCTTCTTCTTCTTCTTTAAAAAAAAAAAAAAATCTTTTGCAGATCAATGTTTTCTTTTTACAGCTTTTCATTCTTTTTTGTGTTACCCCTTTCCAGATTTAAGCCTGTCATCTTTCAAGAGGTTCAATTGAAAGATTGTTTTTAACTACAATATTTAAGCTACAGTTAATCAATGTGAAAAATTACCATAAACTGAGATGAGAGTGGAAATTTGATTATCCATCTTCTTTAAAAAAAAAAAAAATCTTTTGCAGATCAATGTTTTCTTTTTACAGCTTTTCATTCTTTTTTGTGTTACCCCTTTCCAGATTTAAGCCTGTCATCTTTCAAGAGGTTCAATTGAAAGATTGTTTTTAACTACAATATTTAAGCTACAGTTAATCAATGTGAAAAATTACCATAAACTGAGATGAGAGTGGAAATTTGATTATCCATCTTTTATCCAACTGAATGATCCCTGGGTTTGTACTATCCTAAGTTTGTTAGTGCTTTCTTCAGGGACTCTGCAAATATCAGTAATATGTATGGAATTGGTTCTAATAGGGGGATCCAATTGGAGTTTCCTCTGTACAATTAATTTTTCTAGGAGCGCATTCCATAAATGGTTAAAGAAGTACTTGGTAAATGATTTCACTTTAGGTGGTGTCTCACTTTTAAAAATTTACTGCCGCGGTGGGGTCAAGAGAGTCAACTTTATTCTTTATGTACTGCTACTATCATTAAGATTATTTCCTGCAATTGGTATTTGAATTGACTGGGTTGCTGGACAATATTTTGCAGTTTGATTGTGGTTGGCAAGTTGTGTGGACTTGCCTGATGCAGGGGTTGCCATTGTTCAGTAATGTAACTCCAGTTGTAAGTCTCAGTTCTTTCTCTTTGATAGGAAACGCATTTATAAATTTTTTTTTTGAAATAAAGCTTGCATAAAGACAAGATAGACAAGATATGCATCAATGCATGCTCTGCAAACCAGAAAAATTAGAGGAAATTTTAATCAGCTTACAACTCCCACCAATCAAGCTGAATTAAGTTGGCTTTCCGTTCTCTTCCAACATATTTGTATTTTCAGCTGAGTTATGGATATACATTTCTATGTTTCTCGTCTGTGGTTCTGTACTTACATATCTGGTACATCTTTGCCTCTGTTCTGCAAGAAATTTAAGGTGCTCCAATCAGCTTATATTAGATTTTAACTCACGGGCTTATTTTTTGGCATCACTAAAAGGTTTAAAAACAATTGTGTTGGGTCCCAATAACTGTTAAATGTGTCGGGTTCCAATAACTGTTAAATGTGTCGGACACGGTAGCTTTATTCTCAACTTTTTTTTCATAGTATACTATGTTGTTGGTTATATTCTGAAATTCCCTTTAGCACACATTAAGACACACATAGCCTAAGTTTTAATGGAATTAGGTAAATCTAACAAGATGTTTATAGTATCTTTTAGAATTTGGGTATCTTGTTCATTCACTGTTCTTACTCCCTCAAATTATGGTGGAGGATGTTGGGTGCTCTCGGAGCGGAGTGGGTCATTCCTAAAGGGTGTTTTGAGCTCCTTAGTATCAATTTGAGGGTGTCGGGGAAGGGGAAGAGAGCTGGATCCCTTCGAGATTGTCTAGTTCATGCTATATTCTGGAATATATGGATGGAGCGTAATCGAAGAATTTTTCAGGGTCATACAGGAGTAAGGGTTGAGGAATTATGGGATAGAATTAAATTTTGGGCTTCTCTTTGGGCTTCGGTTTCGGGGCAATTCAAGGATTATCACTACTCTATCATCTTGAGAGACATGACGGCTGTTTTAAGATGATGTTACTTATGTTTTTGTGTTTTTAATTACAGAATCTTTCTGTCTTAGTTGGTCAGATACTCTTCATTATAGGTTTTGTTGCTTGATCGAGGTTTTTT